CCCCCCCCTCTCTCTCTCTCTCTCTCTCTCTCTCTCTCTCTATCTACTCTTCCCTGCGTCCCCTTTCCTCCAAGTAATCTTTGTCTCTCTTTTTTTCTTTTTTTTCTTTAATCACTGACGCTTTTCCTTCATTTCGCTTTCGCTACTTTATAATTAGGTGTGTCAGTACTGATTGTGAGTAGCAGTTCCCGTGTCGGCACTTCGCACGAGGAAGTCTGTTCACGAATAACGCGCGTTCGTCCATTAACGAGAGACCAAATCGAGTCGATTTGTTTTGCTCTTTTCTTCTCTCAAGGTGCCACTGCCGGAGCAGTGCCTTTTTTGTTATAAGAAAACAAGGGTGTATGCATAAAATCGCGAAAAAAAATTAAATCTGAATTCAAATAAAAGGAATGTCACGATAAATAAAACTATTGGTGACTGTTCTCAAAATTCTTCTGACTACACGTGCATTATTTCTGTAGGCCCTCTGTAAATGTTCTCCAATCGAAGTTGAACGTTCTCTGTCCATTAATTGATCACGTAACATAAATAAACGTATAAAGATATATTTTCTTCGGAGAGCAAGAGACTCGACCGTCTGCACTTGCTAGAGCAAGAGACCTCCGAAGGAAATGTATATCTGTTAAAAAGACATTAATAGACAGCATGGAAGAAGGATAAACGGTCCGTGAACAGTTGGCGTCGTCGCGAGTTAATGGTTCGAGTCTCGCGACGCCTAACCCTGCGAATACAATGTGTTGGCGCGACTAATGTGGATGTATGATGATTGTTTCAGGTATGCGATGCCCTACAATGATGCTGAGGTCGAGGCCGACGCTGACGCCGACGCCGACGCCGACACGGGTCGTGGTATATTTATCTTCCATCGTGAATCCGTCGTGATGAGAAAATGGCAAATTTTAGAGTTTGATGGGAAACCTTACTACGCCTTCGTCCCGGAAAATGATACGCCCCTCGAGGAGGAGGCCATACCGGAACTCTTCGAGCAGGAAGAGGACGACGAGCTTGAGAGCAAGAGTAAAATTGCCAAAGTCGAATGCGTCTATGGCGATGAGTCGGCAGACAATGGATCGTACGATGGTAGATATTACGAGGAAGACCACGATTTTCTAAATGGCGGATCTCTTGAAGCGAATGACGACGACGCATTGGACGTCAAGCCAGTTCTTATAAACGGAGTGACCGGTAAGGACGATTTCGAGGACAAGTCGGGGATCGGTAATCTGTATCAGGTTAAAGTTCAGGGTAGCATGGTTACCATCGAAAGGTTTGCCGCGAATATTCTTGGCTCAAGGTCTTCGGAGCAGGATCAGCTGCAGGGTCGGATACAAACGTATCAGGCGCAGCCGGAAGACGAACAGATTGAGATGCACCTGCCCGAGGAACAGGAGGAGCAGGAAGAGGCGGAGGAGGAAGAATCGAAGCAGGAACATCCGGAGATAGATCACGATCAGAACAAAGGACAAGCGATGGGCTTTGAGTTCATAGAGCAAGACCAGTCGTTCCGATTCGGCCGGATGAGTTTGGCGAGGCTGGGAGTGCGGGGGGCGAAGGCTCGCGTGGGCCGCGCGCTCAAGTGCAAGGTCTGCTCGGAGACTTTCGGCTCGGCCGTAGCCTTTCGCAAGCACGTTGCTTGGACCCACAAGAAGAAGGTCTGCATTCAGGAAGACGGGGCGTACATTTGCGCTGTTTGCGACTATCGCACCCTAAAGAAATCCCTGTTCGCCGCGCATCTCGAGCGCAAGCACGAGACTTGGTCGCGCAAGCGCTCCAGCTCTGTGATGTTCCCCTGCGGCGCCTGCGGCTTCGTTTGTCGCACGAAGCACTCTCTTCAGTCGCACTTCATCCGCAAGCATACCGACAAGTACGAGCATCAGTGCAAGTTCTGCGCGAAGAAGTTCAAAGTCAAGGGCGACTTGACGAATCACGTGAGATTTCATCACAAGGAGAAGCCCGTCAATTGCGACGTGTGCGGAAAGCTGTGCCTGAACAGCAGCTCCCTCTACGTTCACCAGAAGTGGGCCCACTACAAGCCAAAGTACGAGTGTCACATATGCAAGCGTCGCATGGTCACCCAAGAAAACTTGGACCAGCATCTCGTGACGCAACACGAGAAGCGCGAGAAGATCGTTTGCGCGGAATGCGGCAAGACCTTCACAAAGAAGGACTCGTTCAATAGGCACATGTCCGTGCACACCGGAAGTAAGCCCCACGCCTGCCTGATATGCAGTAAGCCATTCGCTCGGCGTTCGCAGCTCAGGCAGCATCTTCTCATTCACACGGGGAAGCGGCCGTTCGTTTGCGACATCTGCGGCAAGGCTTTCACTCAGAAGCCAGGACTCATTTGCCATAGGAAGACGCATCCGGGTCCTCATCCGCCGCTGCCCGTGATGCCCATCGGGGACATCGTCAAAGAATTCACCGAGGGATTCATTCAGGAGTGCAACAGCGCTCATCAGGAGAGTCAGGAATAAATAGTTTTTTGCTCGCATCGACTTGATTTTCTCTCGGTACGCGATCCTCGATACGACAAGACAGACGTGCCTGGCTGGCGTAGTACGCGGAGCTTTGTATATTAGCTCAATTATCGAACAAGTAACTCGCTATTCTTCCATTTTTTGCCTCTCCTCCTACTCCCGTTATCTCGCCTTTTCTTTTATTTTTTTTTTCTTCGTCAGTCGCTGCTCCCTCCCTTTCACGACTCTTTCTATAATATTTCCTCTGTTGGACATTTCGTCAATCGACGATACAGCATCATCGGCCAGAAGTGACCGAAGAAGCGACCGAAGAAGTCCATCGCTGCTGCATCTCCCAGGGACGATGGAGTTCACTTCTCTAGAGTTAACACCATGTACAGTATGTAAGATAGTTGGTCCTCGTTTCGTTGTCTGTGTAGCTGGAAATCACAAGAAATTCCTAAGCTTAAGTCATAGCTGAAATGCTATTTTTCTAAAGTGCCGAGGTCGATGCGTTTCGTATCTTAATAAAAAATTTAAAAAAATAAAATGAAAAAATAAGAAAACGACGTGTATAGTTTTTAGTTTGAAATAAATATTTTTCATTATTCTTGTGAAAATTGTTTAATCGCCTTCCGTCCTTCGTCTGGGATGAAAAGGCGTGCGACTCGCGCAGCAGAAACGACGCCGGAAGCGATGTTGGTTGGGTAATGAGCCAATCTAATTATTTCCAAGTCGAGAGATAAGTATATATATATATATCATTTCTCGCTTATCGATCCTTTTGAAAATACATTAAGGTTTTGTCCGCAATGCACTTTTCAGGACGAGGAATTAACGCAGCCTACTGATCTGTCAAGAAATATTTTACCGTTCAATGGACGATTCGCAAGGAAGGAACAAAAAAAATGTCAGTCGCGTGGGACTGGAAGATGGTTCGGGAAGAAAAGGGAGCACACAAAGGTAAGATGGGTTGCATATGTTTCGTAAGCTGTGCGATATTATAGTTTCCGTGTGAATAATCAAACGTTGAAGACAATCTGTAGCAGCCCGAAAATAAATAAGTTTTCGAAAGCGAATCTCGAGTCCCACTGATTTGTTGCCTCCTCGCCTCGTGCGTTCCTCGTTCTTAATTCTCTGTTTCCGCCTATTGCACCTTAACCACCTTTCTCACATCTCGTTGGACTAGAAGTCAAACGTTACGCATCGCGAAATTAATTGTTAATCCAAGTAAGTAAGGAAGCGATTGTGTACGAGGAAATGGAAGCTCGAAAAGTGAAATAATTTCGAAGGCGTCCATCTGCTCTTTGTTTTAGGACATCGGATCCTCTCTGCGACGACACGGTGACGATCGAGTGCACACCGGAATACGTGATGCTGCCGGGACGAGGATCGAGTTCCGAGGAACGCAGGTCCAAGCGGAAGATCAAGCGAAGAGTGGCCCCCAACGAGTCTCTCGTTAAACGCGGAAGAAAGGTTGTTGGCGAAAGTCGAAATGGAAATGGAAATGGAAATGGAAATGGAAATGGAAATGGAGCTGCCAGTGACAGCAGCGTCATCGGTTGTGCCAGAAGTTATTGTTGCGACTTCTGCGGCAATAGTTTTCCAACGAAGAAGGAACTCGTTCGCCACATGAGGCTCCACAAGTACGTCTGCGACATTTGCGACAACAAGTTCCATCGGAAAAGTGAACTTAGGAATCACGTGGCTTCGACTCACGGCCCGGAGAAGTATCCCTGCGACGTCTGTGACTACGTGAGCCGAAACAAGTGGGCCCTGCAGGACCACTTTATTCGCAAACATACCGACGGCTTCAACTTCGCGTGCAAGCTCTGCGGCAAGGAGTTCAAAATCAAGAATGACTTGCAAACTCACATGAATCGCAGTCACAACGACGTGTGCGTCGTGTGCGACGTGTGTGGACACACGAACAAGAGTATCCACGCGCTTAAATGCCACAAGAAGTATGCGCACTACAAGCCTAAATTCGAGTGCAAGCTCTGCAAGCGCAGGATGACTACGCAGGAGTATCTCGATAAGCACATGCTGCGTCACGAGACCAAGGAGAGAAACGTCTGTCCGACTTGTGGGAAGACCTTCTGCGAGAAATACGCGCTCGATGTCCACCTGATGATTCACACGGGAGTGAAGCCTTTCGCTTGTCCCGTGTGCGGCAAAGCATTCTCAAGGCAGACCGCTCAGGAGCAACACATTCTTATTCACATGGGCAAGCGACCCTACACCTGCGACGTCTGTGGGCAGGCCTTCGCCCAGAAGCCGGGACTTATCTGCCATCGGAAACGTCATCCCGGGCCGCTTCCACCCCTTCCCGTTGTCTCGGTCAAAAATATCGTCAGCGACTTCACTAGAGAATACATCAGGAAGAATCAGACTGCTGCTCAATGAAGTGAGAGAGTGCCTGTCCTATTTGAAACTTGAACCTTGACCATTTTGAGCATATGCATCATGCATATTGTTGCTTGTGTTTCTATTGTTGCTGGTGGACCAATAAAAGTCGCTCCGTCGATTCGGAAGATCTTAATTGTGGAATTTTTGCTGCACCGAACTTAGAAATCGAACGCAGAACATTCGATGAGGACGAACCGTAAATTAAATATACTCGCTGAAAGTGAACCAGGTGTCGGATGTCAAAGAGTGGCAATTAGCAAGCGAAATCTCGTATTATTTGTCTGATAATCGAATGAGACGCCAGAGACGCGTCTGTGTTGATTTCTGTGGATGGTGATCGAGTGGGCCTGATGATTCTTCCTCCTCCTCCTCCTGCTCCTCCTCCACCGCCACTCCTTAAACTATCATGTGCCTTGGCGATGCCTACGGATGCTTCGAATTGCGTTGATAAACCCGCACATGTTGGTGCAATCATCTGTCATATCAGGCGCACTCGTAACATACAGCCATTGTCACAGAATCACGTTTTCAGTACCATAGGAATAAAAACGTTCGTTCGAACGGACATCATATTGCGCGCGGGCTTTGAGCAGGTAAGTTCCCGTATCGTGACTACCGCCTGGCCATAACGCTTTCCAACATTATTTTTCGATTAGTCAGCTTCATGATTCCGAAAGACCTGCCGAGACTTTCGTTGACGAAGTTTATACGAATCCCAGTGAAGCCTACCTAACTACTGAAAAGTCATCCTCTTAAGTGAATCTATCGCTTCATCAAATTCCCAGAACTGCGGGCACATTTATATTCGACACACCTTTAACCATGATTTCGCTGAACGTTCGATGTCTAATGCTTTTCAAATTTTCTGTTGTAGAAATTTCATCTCCGATCCGCTAAGCGTCTCGGGAACGAGTACGCACTCGGGCGGGAAGAAACCGGTGGTCAAGATTGAATGTACGCCAGAGTACATGATTTGGCCGAAGAAGAAAGCTGCGGCAGCGGCGGCAGCGGAAGAGCGCTTCCAAAGCTTTCCATGTCAAAATCAGGGTTATCCTGCAGCGGGCTTGGATGTCCAAGAAGGGGACGTAGCGGATGAGAGTACCGCGGATAGGGATATGGATGATGACGAAAACGGAAACGTGAACGAAGAGCAGGATGGCGATGAGGACGATGATGAGGATGGCGATGAGGACGATGACGATGAGGATGACGATGACGATAGTGACAAAGACGATAAAGACGATGACGGCCATCGGAGTAAGAAGTTAAGGAACGATAAAAAGGAAAGGCATCAGGGAAAGTGGAAGAACGAGGAGCGCGAAGCGCCGCGAGGTACTCGCAGCAGCGTCGAGTGCGATCACTGCAGGCGTAAGTTTTTTAAGAAGAGCAACTTGGCCGAGCACCTCAAGCAGCACCGGTACAAGTGTTCGGAGTGTGCAAAAACCTTTAGTATGAAACGGTACCTAAATGGACACATCGAGAAGATCCACAGGCCACACGTGTTCGAGTGTAGCGTTTGCGAGTACAAGAGCAACAATAAAGGAACGCTCAAGAATCACTTCATTCGGCTGCACACGAGCAGCTTTAATTTTGCCTGCGACACGTGCGGCAAGCAGTTCAAGATTAAAAAAGCCCTTAACCATCACGTCAAGCAAAATCATAGTGGGAACCCGCCAATAGTCTGCGACGTCTGCGGCCACTTCAGCAAGAACCTTCACGCCTTGAAGGCCCACATGAAGTATCGGCACTACAAGCCCGAATTCGAGTGCAGAATCTGTCGTAGGGGTATGACGACCAAGGAGAACCTCGAGCAACATCTCACTTGGCACGAAACTCGCGAAAAGGTTCTCTGTCCCACTTGCGGTAAGAGATTTCGCGGACGCGATCTTGATTCGCACATGAGAGTGCACACGGGCGTGAAGCCCTTCCCTTGTCCTGTTTGCGGCAAGTCTTTTAGAAGGCAGACAGCCCAGGAACAGCATGTTCTCATCCACACCGGCAAGAGGCCCTACGTTTGCGACATTTGCGGCCAGGCCTTCGCGCAGAAGCCCGGACTCATCTGTCATCGGAAGCGTCATCCTGGACCACTGCCACCGCTACCAGTCGTATCTATTAAGAATATCGTAACCGAATTTACCAGAGAGTTCGCTATGAAGAATCAGACGATAAAAATCGAGTAAATATTTCTCGAAAAATCAACGTCCCCTTTCCTTTTCTTTTGCCATTTCATCTTTCTGCATGTCTTCTTCGCTGAACAAATGCCCAGACGCTTACGGAGTCACACAATAATATAGTGCTACGATATCTTTTTCTTTTTTTTTTGTACATGTTCTATTGACCTAATGTAAGTAATAGGTAATAAACGCTATTTGGATTAAAAATTCGTAACGTGGCACTTTGAGGGGAGACGTATTCAATTTAACGAAAGGTGGCGGCTGGTGCCCGCGTCTCCAGTGCTTTGCAGTTGGATTACTTATTCTTTCGAGGATAATAAATATACCCATTCGAAAATTTCAAGGAACTCAAGTAAGAGAAATGTAATTTTCCGAAAAAGTAAATAATTTAAGAGAGAGCGAGAGAGAGAGAGAGAGAGAGAGAGAGAGAGAGAGAGAGAGAGAGAGAGAGAGAGAGAGAGAGAGAGAGAGAGAGAGAGAGAGAGAGAGAGAGAGAGAGAGAGAGAGAGAGAGCGAGCGTAGAGAAAAGGACGTGAGGCCCCACTCACATTTTCTACATTTATTACAACGAAATGGGAAAAGGGATTTTCCTTTTGCTCTGTTTGTCGAACCATACTAATTTTTCCTTCAAAGTGAGTATTCTGAGGCCAAGACTATTGTTTTGGGGCTTCCCCATCCTCGCATTCATCTAACTAGCACGTGTTTTTCTATTTTAGCGAATCCATGATCAAACGAATAATGAACCCAACGCACAGGAAAAAAATCATCTGGCTACGCCATGCCAAGAAACCTGACAGCGGGACTTGCGTGGTGACCATCACCAGTTAAGGTGTTAAGTAATGGGCCTCTTACTGCTGTGGGAAAGCGACAGTGAGAGACTGAAGCTGCGAATGAGGATAGCGGCCGCGAATAGGCTCTTTGGGATTTTCGTGGAGCAACAGGCACATTGCAGACTGTATTTACCTTATTTGAAATAAAGAAGCAGCCTTTTCAATGAACGAATGGAGCTACCGTAGAATATATTATAGTATCATTGATGAAATCGGATGGATAGGAATGACTTAATGGCACTCTAAGAGGCGTTTTAAGAATTGACTAGATTTGTCTGAAAGAAATGTAAAGATGGCGATAATTTCCGCTGTCACAGTCGACAGTCGCGCTGTCACCCATCACTCGGTTCGAGGTCGCAGACTTTTATATTGAATCAATTAAAAGGTCGAGTAAGTATTCAGAGTGCGAGAAACATTCTAATTTTTTGTGCTACTAAAATGGTAAATGTGTGTGTGTGAGAGAGAGAGAGAGAGAGAGAGAGAGACTGGGAGCGGGAGAAGATGCTGCAGATGGAAGACAGAAGACGAGAGCCACTCTAACACTGGGAACTCTCTTGTGTGTTGTAGATCGGTGTCGATGGATGCTGGTATAGATCCGCTGGACATAGCTTTGTCGTCGAACGATGCTGCGGATGTCGAGACGTCTTCGCGAAAGTTCGTTCTGCGTGTCGAAGGGGCACCGGAAGTATCAACGAAGCAGGGAAAACGTCGTTGGCGCCAGAGCAAAGGCAAGGACAGCGGCCAAACTCGATGTCGAGGTCGAGCGTGTCTCCAGGAGCGCCGGGGAGATGGGAGGGGAAGAAATGTGCGTGGAGGGGAAGGAAAGGAGAGCACTTGTACTAGTTTGAGAAGTGAAAATGAGCCGCGTTTCGAGTGTGACTTTTGTAGGAAAAAGTATACGAAGAAGAGCGCCCTGATCGTCCACATAAAAGAACACAGTTACGCGTGTAATATCTGTGCCAGCAGCTTCGCCTTGAAGCGGGAACTCAAGTGTCACGTCGAGAAGACGCACGGTCCGCAGATGTACGAATGCAGCGTCTGTGATTATAAGAGCAACAAAAAGTGGACCCTCAAAGACCACTTCATTCGCAAGCACACCGACGAGTACCACTTCTCCTGCAAGTTCTGCGGGAAGCTCTTCAAGATTCAGAACAACCTGAAGCAGCACATCAATCAAATGCACAGTGGCGCCCCACCAATTCTCTGCGACTTTTGCGGGCACGCGAGCAAAAATCTCCACGCTTTAAAGAGTCACATAAAGTACATCCACGACAAACCCGAATACGTCTGCAAGATATGCAAGCGTCGTTTGGTCTCGCAGAAGGGTCTCGAGCAGCACCTCCATTGGCACGAGACAAAGGAGAGGGTCGTATGCGAGCAGTGCGGCAAGACCTTTCACATACCCTACGACCTCGAGGTCCACATGCGCTCTCACACCGGCGTCAGGCCGTACGCCTGCAGCGTCTGTAAACAGTCCTTCGCCAGACGGAACACCTTGCGGCAGCATCTACTCATTCACACTGGCAAGAGGCCTTACGTCTGCGACATTTGTGGCAAGTCCTTTACTCAAAAGCCTGGTCTCACCAGCCATCGAAAGTCCCATCCAGGATCTCATCCACAGCTTCCGAGTGTCTACATCGACAGCATTCTGAAAGACTTGACCCAGCTCAAGTCCGAAGAAGCGAAAGACCGCACGTAGTTCTGCCATTCCGAGATGCGACCAGTTTCGCCCCTTGCGCCGCTGCCCTCTCCCTCCGAAACGAAAGCACTGCAACCTCCGCGAAGGATAGTCGGCCCTTCTTTATCGTGGGTTTTATGCTGCCGCATATATTTACCAAATGTAGTATCATGTCTCTCGGCATGCCTCTGTTCTCCGCATCGTCGGATACTTGTATTCTAATAGGAAATAAACAACCGAATCGAGAAGCGGCTTACGCCTTTGGATTGAGGACTCCTTCCTTCTGCCTCTCTGTGACGATGAGTGATGTTCGGTGAGGCACAGCGACGCTCAGTGATGCTTCGTTGGCTGTTCGAACATCGGTTTAAAACGCATTGCCTTCAAGCTGAGCAGTCAGATTTTGATTTCATTGATATAAAAAAAAGAAAAAATAAAAGAAAAAGAGGAGAAAGACCGTATTAACGGGACACTTTTTTTTCAGGGAAACCTCGACGGACCCTCTGTGCATTGGCCAAGGAAAAAGAGAAAAAATGCCGAGAAGAATCGTTGTGCCGCAAAAGAGACAAAGGAAGCCTCAGCTGATTCTACCAAAACCCTCGACAACGCCGGCTGGCGACTATACCTTGATCCTGCCCAAGGCGTATCTTCTGATCAACGAGGAGAAGGTTGTCGGGAACCAAGAACCGCCTGAGATATCAGAATTTAAATCCGAATCCCTCGGCAGCAAGGCAGATGGACACCTCTGTCGTATTTGTGACGCGATCTTTCCCAAGCGACTCTCCCTCATGAAGCACATAAAGGTTCACGTACACCGCTGCGACGCCTGTGCGATACCCTTCAAAGACAAAGAAAGTCTTGAGAATCACATGAAGACGCACAAACACCTTTTCGATGGGAAATCAAAATATCCATGTAAAGTCTGTAGCTACGTCAGTAAGAACAAGCGAATCCTCGAGGCGCATTTCATTCGTAAGCACACTGAGGCCTACAATTACTTCTGCGAGATATGCGGCAAGCAGTACAAGGTCAAGAACGACCTGAGGACACATATGATCAAGTACCACAGCGGAAATCCTCCCGTCGTTTGCGACGTTTGCGGTCGCTCGTGCGTGGACAATCACACTCTTAAGGTTCATCAGAAGTTTGCTCACTTCAAGCCCAAGTACAAGTGCGTCATCTGTCCGAAGCGAATGGTTTCGCAGGAGAATCTCGAGCAACACATGCTTTGGCACCAGGAGAAGGTCATATGCGAGGAGTGCGGCAAGGCTTTCTCGGAGAAGTGCTCCCTGGTCGTGCACATGAGAACGCACACCGGCGACAAGCCCTATCCCTGTCCAGTCTGTGGCAAGTCGTTTGCGCGTTCAGGTGCCCAACGGCAACACATCCTCACGCATACCGGGCAACGGCCCTACGTTTGCGACATCTGCGGCAAGAGTTTTACGCAAAAGCCGGGTCTCATTTGCCATCGGAAAACTCATCCTGGGCCGCTGCCACCACTTCCGCCATTCTATATCGACGGCATCCTCAAGAAGTTCGAGGAGGACGTGTTAAAGAAGTGTGTCAAAGGGAACGAGAATGAAAGCGCGAGCCACGCGAGGAACTGAAGGACGGTCGGCCGGTTAGGAAGGAAGGTGCGGGACCAATGTCAATGTCTTTCCAAGAGAACAAATTTGCCCGTTGCAGAAGACTAAGCGGATCGCATGGAGTGTATTTTGAATCGTGTCGTAAGGCAAAGAATTCGACACCTTGAGCGACTGGCTCCTGGAAGGATCCATGCGACCCGTACATTGGAAACTGTGAGGAACTTTTGTATTTTAAGAGAATGCTCAGGCGAGTCTTGTCTTTTCTTTTGGAGGAGGTTGGGGTTGGGGTTGGGGGGGGGTCTGGGATCGCAAGAGTGTGTCCGTAGATAGATCGTTTGTATCAAGGACTAAATAAAGGATGCTGAATTGCCTGGAATTATTTTGTATGTATTTGTAATTTTTCGCGAGAATTCCCAGTTAGCTGACGATGAGAGTGAAGAAAGTTTGGAGAATGAGTGTCCGTTGATCTTGGTCTTTAAAGAGTAAACCAGACTTCAGAGTGTGCTCCTCCGTTTCAGAAGCCGACGGAGCAAATCCAGAAAGCGGGCCATCCACGAGTGCGGCAAGTGTCGCGCTTGCTTCTTCCACATGACCAAGCTGGTGGAGCACTTGAAGAACGTCCATGGAATCGAACGAGCTTTCACATGCGATCAATGTGGACAAGCTTTTCGTAGTCCAATGAACATCGCGAGGCACAAACTTATCCACACGGGAGTCAAGAGTTTCGTATGCGACATATGCAGTTACGCCTGCAATCAGAAGACGAACCTAGACTACCACAAAAAGAGGCACGCACGGGAGTATTCATACAGGTGCGATCTCTGCGACAAGGGTTTCTTGGCCAGGTCGGAATTTCTGGAGCATCGGGACGCCGCCCACATGGGTCGCAAGCCTCACCGATGCGACCATTGCGACAAGTCTTACCCGTACAAGAGCAACCTCAATGTCCACGTAAGACTTCGGCATCCGGAGCACGTGCACCTTCCTCTCTCGAGGAAGACAAAAGGCGAGAGGCACCAATGCGACGTCTGCTCGGAAACCTTCCCGTACAAGCGGCTGCTCGAGCGGCACTCGAAGGCGAGTCACGGTGTCTCGAAGAATGAGCGGAATTTCCTCTGCGAGCTCTGTGGCACTCGACTCTCCTCGAGGAGCATCCTCCTGGCTCACAGAAGGACTCACACGGGCGAGAGGCCGATCGTTTGCGAAACGTGCGGCAAGGGCTTCGTCACCAGGGAGAATCTCAGGATTCATCGACGCACCCATACTGGCGAGAAACCACACATCTGCGTCCATTGCGGAAAGGGATTTACGCAAAGGACCTCGCTCGTCCTTCATCTAAGATATCACACGGGCCAGCGGCCTTATTGTTGCATCACGTGCGGGAAAGGATTCGTCTCGGGCACCTTCCTCAAAAATCATCAGAAGAAGATCCATTCTCTCGCTGCCTGAGCCCTCGCTGTCCTGTCTCTCCTCCTCTTTCCCAGATTCCCATCCACCGGCATCGTCATCCCGCGGTAGTCGATGCCAGTCTTCTAATTTTTAACTTCCTTCTGGTAGTATAACTGATTAATCGTACTCACTCTATAAGTAGTCGCTGTATAATAAAGTACTCTACGAGTTGCGAGAAAAGAAAACTCATGTATGTAGTGTATCAGTCTCCAAGATTCGTGTTGAAACGGTTCCTTTAATGCTTTCATTCGACATCGCTCGACTCGATCATCGCCTGCTGTCCCTGCGTACCGATGTGCCTTGACCAATGAGATCACATATGTTACAGCCAATGGAGCAACAATCACCAGGAGTTTGACGATTCTCAAGACCTTAAGATCAAGACGGAAGACATTGAGAGGGGAATGGATTCGGAGCTCAAGTGAGTATGCGCATTCTACATTTGAAAATCTTCAGTCTCTCTCTCTCTACGTCAGCACCCAGATAGCCAAGCAAGAGCAGTATATTAGAGCATACGAAATGCTCCACGAGCCACTATCATTACGGTGCATGTGTGCTTTCATCATCTGTAGAGTCTTTTCAGTTTAACGTGTTGAGGCAAATCTATTGCAATTGACATCCCGTTCACAGAGGACGCACCAGCAGCATTCAAATCATTTCTATACCAGTTGACGATTCAAATGACAAACGCTTGTGGTGCATCATGCCACCGCAAAAAACACGTAACACTTTTTTTTTTTTCTAACATATTAGACAAAACTTTGAGAGAATATACATATGTATAGACTTTGCGTCTATATTATTTTCATACTTTGCTTAAGTTGAAATAATTCAAATAACAACTCAAACGCAAAAATATAAAATGCGGAAGAAATTTAGGTGGCGCGTTCCTCATGAATAATCAGCTATAAAATCTTTGCGTGGTGCTCCTCGGTAAGAGGTAAGAGCCCAGTCACACTCGGCGAACGCGAACTGTCGACCAACGAGAGAACTCCGGTCCACAAGGATTCAAGCTGTATTACTGGTCCAGAGTTGCGCTCGTACGTGTCTATCACGAGTGTGACCGAGCCCTAATAGTCAGGATTACAATGGAAGTGCACAGTGATACACGTGACCGATATACAATATCCCAAAGTTAAACTTGTTTTAATTAATAACACAAGTTTTGCTCGAGAGCGCAGTGTCTAACTTCAGTGACGTTGCAAGTCTTGCGAAAAGAAAAAGAAGAGTAAATGTTGTTTCGGAAGACTCGCATGAAACATTAAAGTTAGAGGCTTGGCTCTCAAGGATGACTCGCGGCAATTGGAAGAATATGTTTTACTTATGCCATCGGAATACTGTTAACGAAAATCATTTAAAAGCATTTGAATGCTATCATTATGCTGTTCGTAAGGCAAATTGTATGCGGTTAGCATATGCTGGCATCGTGCTGTCAAAAAGCGGACGCACCTGTGCGATCGAATGCAGGATTCCTATGCGCTCCCATGTCCCAATTATGCTGACATTATGTCGTCATCGTGCTATCTGAGTGCGTGACTATTACACGTCAGGCTTAAAAATTGACGACAACACGAGAGATTGGTATATCGGAGCATTTGATCGGTCGGCTCGAATGACAGAGAGCTTCTTTACGTTTCAGATCGGAGAGCAACGAAAAGGCTTGCGAAATATGCAATGAAAAGTTCCACTTCGTAACGCGCCTGGTGGCGCATCTCAGGATTGCGCATGGGATTCATAGGCCGTTCAAGTGTCAAACCTGCCCCAAGACCTATCCCCAGCAGTTCATGCTCAACGCTCACGTAAAGAAGTCCCACACTCCGAAAATCGTGCCCTGCTCGCAATGCGAGTTCATGGGCGTCTCGGGGACGGACGTCGAGCGACATAAGAGACGCATCCATAAGGAGGTCAAGTTCACCTGCGAGATCTGCAGCGAGAGCTTCCTCGAGAAAGCGGCCCTGATCGCGCACACGACGATGCACAACTTCATGCAGTACCAGCAGTGCAACGCCTGCGGGAGCACCTTCAACGACGTCTACTCGCTGAAGGAGCACAATCGGCTCTATCATTTCAGTGCGGATTCGATGACGAAACCCGAGGAAGTGCCCGAGCACAAATGCGACATCTGCGGGAAGCTCTACAAGTACAAGTCGGTCCTGAAGCAGCACAAGGTCAAGGCCCACGGCGACGCGCCGAATTACGAGCGACGCCGATACCTCTGCGCCCTCTGCGGCAAAGAACTCAAGACGGCTAAGGGCCTCGAAATTCACAATAGATCGCACACTGGTGAGAAGCCTTACACCTGCGAGGTCTGCGGCAAGTGCTTTGCCTGCGAGACCCTCCTCAGGACTCACAACGTGACGCACACCGGAGAGCGCAAGTATTCCTGCGAGCAATGCGGCAAGGCGTTCACTCAGAGATCCACCCTGGTAGTTCACAAGCGATATCACACAGGCGAGAGACCCTACGTCTGCCCCAGGTGCACCAAGGGATTTGTCACTCGTACCGTTCTCAATACTCATCTTAAGTCCTGCCGTTGACCATCCTGTGCTGCCATCTTCACCTCCGCACGCAGGTCCGCCTGCAGGCTTCCTTTCCTCGGTTTATCGCTGTTCCCGCCTGCTTCCGCCTGTTTCCGCCTGTTTCCTGCCTTGCAAAGCAGCGATATTCTTCGACCTTTCTAAATCTATCAATTCAGTCATCTTCTTGTTGCTCCTTCAAAATCCACGCCGCGAGGTACAAGTAACACCACGGTGTTCGCACTTTCTACGCCTCGAATGCCTCAAGGCTTCGACCCTCGCAATCCTCGCGCGCACGTATTCCAGCCTTATTCATTAATCGTTCGGTCAAGTTGCTTTAATCCGACGCACTCCCGAACTTATTCGGATCTATTAGGATCTGTCGCCTGAACAAAAGTTACTCTTTTGCGAACCGAAGGGAGGAATAAGGGAGCAACGATGAGCAGCGATTAATAAATAACACTTGACTGAGAGCTGGTTGTTAACGTTATCGAATTAGAGTTATCGAAATACTATATTACATTTAAGTTTCCTACACGTTCGGTTAATTCTACTATACTATTGCTCTTAGAATAAGTCTGCTGACCAATTTGAAATTTTACTACTTTTGTACAAATAATGAAACATCCGATTCTCGCTTCTGACTTAGCGAATATGATTGACGTAGATAAAATTTCGCATTAAAAGCACCCCATGACGCGATAACGCAGGACTGACGATCATCTTAGGAAAAAGAAAATCTCAATCTCGTAGAATCTCAAGTTTTGGACTGTACTTCATTGGATACCTCACCGCACCTACGGTCCTCGTATATGTATAACTATACGCCAAGCTCTTACGGAAGCCACTTTTATTTTATGACGGCGCTTGGTTTTATTTTTTTTTTGTCATTATTCCTCGCTTCGACATCTGAAAAAATCTCTTTCTACAGTTTCTGTATTAAGTGCTATCAGGAAAAGGGGGAGGATAGTGAATTATGGGCGACTACAAAGATTGCCGTTGATTTTAATAAATAAATCTTACATAAAACAGCTGTCTTGCTCTTGATGTTTCTTTGGGATCGAGCACTCTTAGCACTCCCATTTAAATCTTTTGGTTTAGAATTTCTCGATTGCATCTTGTCAACGATTTCATCTTGTCGCAAATAGTTTGAATGCAGTGTCAGAACTTGACGTGGTAACGGAGGGAATCAATAGAAATGAAACACTGAGGCTGAATCCTCGATACGGAAATCGACGCCCTGTTCGTGCATCTTTCGTTCATACTGACAGCCGATACTCTCCAGAAGAATTCGATTTCGAGGATTCACGTTACGCGGCTTCACATGAATCTTACGAAAATCTGCAAGATCAATTTCGAATTGTAACGTAATGTCACGTGTAACTTGAAAAATCCCGCGGAGACTTACGAGTCCTCTGCTCCGCCTGAAGCTGGCACATATCCTTGACGGTGGCCAGACTCCTGATTATCCCATCGTATTGAAGCTGATTAAGTCTCTTGCATCGAATTAGCATAGAGACGAGGAGATCGTCGAGAGACTCGCGATTGTTCCTCAGCTGCAGTATCACTTCGGCTGAAATGAAGAAATGAAAAAGGGAAAGGCGCGATTCGGTTGCGTAGCTCAGCGTGAATTGAGTGTCAAACTAACCTAGCGTATTGGTATAGTAGCTAATGAGAAGCTCGACGGTGCTTCGAAAGTTTCGCGATCTATTCTGATCCCAGACGTGACCACTGAACATGTGGAAGCAGCCGAGCGGGACGCTGGGAAGCAGCAGGTAAGACACGTCTTCGTGGTGCGATATGTTCACTAGAAATCGAGCTCGACAGTCACTACTAGATTAGCAAGAAATCGCGGCGCACTGTTACCTATCGTGTAAGAGACGATGAGACCAGGACAGGCGCGCACCAGGTTGTTCCAGGCTGCGTCAGCCAGGATATGTTGTCGTGAGTCCGAATCTCTGACGGAAACGTGAAGAGTCTGCAGGGCCTGCGAGGCGGCACTCGCCAGTGCATCCAGCGCATCGTCCGAAAGTGCCGAGTAGTCCAGTCGCAGGCTACCCAGAGCGTGGAGACGTCCCAGCAACCGTAAGTATCTAGATTTTTAGAATCCAAAGTGACAGTTCAGCGCAAGACTTGCGAGAAGACATTTTGGGCTCGAGCTCGAGAATCGACCTCGGATTGCTGTGCGGTGCTTGCCACTCCCTGAAGGTTCCGCGTAGATCGAGGGAAACCATTCGAGGACCAGAGGATCTGATAGCGATGCCTAGGAGACGCAGCGCGTCGGCCATGCTCAGGTTTGCATTCAGTAGACTGAGGGTCTCGAGGTTACGTTGACACCTGAAACCGCCGATACTTGAAAAAGGTTGACGTGGTCTGGGATGACGAGAGGTCGCGGCGAGGATATCGCGCTCGTCTGCGCTTCTTCGGATTACGAACCCCAGGAAGTTTCCGAGCGCGTGTAGGAGTTTCCCGCGGTTACCCCACTTGCAGCTGAAGATCCAATCCGTAAGGATGAGCTTCTTCAATTGAACGTCCTTGGCGCGCACGACGGACAGGAAGCCAACGCCAGCCGCAGCCTGGACGTTCCGCCGAATGTGCGGTTCCTTCGGGCAGACGTACGGTCGGGACCAGGCCAACTCCAGGCTTCGCATGTGCTGCCCATATCTGATCTGTGCCGTGCCGAGCGGAGTTAGGCGTTCCGCGAACGTAACGGATTTATTATGAAATACGCACCGCTAGTTTTCCCGCAAGCGGAAAGTCGTCACGAAGATCACGATCGATCAGAACGGTTACCGATCGCCAAAGGATCGGCGAAGAAAGGGCTCTGTTCCAGCTGCGACACACTTGACCTGCGCTCGCTCGATCTCCGCGAGACAGTTGGCTCAATATCTGCGTCAGTATCAGCTCCGGCAGTTGGTCCCACATGTCCCGGCCTGGACGTCCTCCGTTTTCATCTCTCCAGGCAAGAGAGCAATAGTTCGGCGGGCGGTCCAAGAGGGATTCCTGCTAGCTGCCACTCGCCAGTTGCCAATCGTTTGTACCTTACAGCTAATAACTTGTAAACAATTGCTAGATTCTCGTCGTCGTATACCCTGCACGAATTCGATGCGTTCGATGCATTTGATGCATCCTTGGGTGCGGCTCATCCACCAATCCTTGCTGTCATCGACGTTTTCCGGGGCAATGTAGTCACGCTCAGTACTTTTGAGACTCTGAGCAAATATGCACTAGAAGCTACTATGGGTGTGTTCCGAAATGTACTGACAGTACTGCAATACTTTCGGAACACATCCTATATAGAAACAGGTATTCTAATCCTGCTGTGCATAATCAGGGAAATGTGTCTCCTATGGTGGCGCCGCCATCCGTGTGTCTAACGCCTACAGGGATGTACCTGATGCACTAGCAGGGCCTTAGCCGGTATTAATAAGGCTAGGCCTGATATTAACCCTATCCGGGTTTCATAACGTGTTCGCAGAATATGGCTGATACGACAAGCCTCCTGTAGGTCCTCGTGAGGGCCACGCATGTTTTATTTGACTCTTTAAACATTAGTCGTTTGGTCAGAAATCCGTTATGCGGCCCTGGTCGGATTTATATGATATTGCTATTACCTACTTGGCAAACATAAGCTGATACAAATTATTTGTGAGTACCTTGTGAGGTTGACAATTTGGAACGATTTTAGAGCTTTGTGGATACGTTAGATTTTCGATATTTTCAATATTTGTTTAATATTTCATATTTTATGGTAGTCTGGTTGAGTTGAAAAGTTTATTAACTCTTACAGAGCCACTATGAGACCCTGACAGTACGTCATACACACTGATGGCGGCGCCACCGTTTGACATATTTATAATATTTCAGGGGATGCATTGCAGAATTAAAATACCTGTTTCTATGATATCTTAATCACCTTAATGCACGAAAGCGATAGCAATGCCTTCGTCCCAGGCGACAGATTTTGCGTTTATCTGTAACGTTAGTTGATAGCCTTTGCAATGTCTGAAATAAAGTCCACATCCTTTGTCTACAATTCGTCATCGTCATTGTTAATCGCTTCTTAAAGATTCCTATTATAAAATATTAAATATAGCGATGCAGTTACGTGAAGTTTTCGTTCATTTTCAGTTATTCGATTTCTGATTAAGTTTCTCCTTCGCGATTGGTTGAACTGCTTTCCGGAAGACATTTTTTTTTTATGGCGTCATCTTTGTCTTGTAACGATAGATCAGGTAAGCGAGCAATGAAGAAACGTCACGGAACACCTAAGCACACGCTGTGGGCGCTCTAAGCAGTTAGAGATACGGCTGATTTCGTAAAAAAAATTACATATTAAGAAACAGAAATATACATGTAATTTCTTAGATTTTGTTTTTTATTGATTAAACTGCACATATCAGTGACGCGTCAGGCTCGATTCTCTCTCCTTTCAGCCAATGAGCAATAGCGAGGGTTGGAGCAAATGCGCTGCGACTGACGTTAACTCATGTGTCATAAGTGGCACACTACCGATTGCGGAAGACTCGTCGCCTCTCTGGCGTTGCTTCGTGGACTCTTATTATCGCGTTCACAATAATCTTAGTCGTCTTATATCTTATTGTAAACCGTTCGTTTTCCACTCTATACATACACGCAGCAGGTTGGCTGCCTGGAGAAGTGGATGGTTAGTGGTGACATCTCTCAATATTTTACGGCGCTCTTATGTCTCGCCTGATGCTTGGAGATTCGTTTCGCTTGGAGATTGCTCGACAAAGGCCTGTCGCGTATCGACAAGACTGGATTTTATGTCCAGTTCGGCGTCACGTTCAAAGCGTAACTAGATTGTTTCGGCTCAGAATGCAGCTGCAGCGCACCACCAGTCACACGGTTATTCTACATCATTAGAATATCATATTTGCCATGCGAAACACACCCTCCCCCTCCC